AATGTTTTTTTTTTTTTTTTTTTTTTTTTTTTTTTTTTTTTCCTTTTTTTTCCTCTATACAACTGCTTCGTCTTCTTTTTCTTTTTTGGCGGGGCCGCACGTACAACAACAAGTTTTCTATCCCGCGTTGCTGGGAGAAAGGTTCAGTACACAGCTAGTTCTAATCTGTTTTCCCCTCCACAGTGGATGCCAACGATCCGGTGGCAGTCCGTCACACATGACTTCCACGTATCTGGCACGCATGCTACAGACGGGCGCCATCCAGAAGCATATCAGCACCGTTCTATGCCCAGCATATGCCCAACGATACAGGATTCTCACGATGGCCGTAAAGCAGCATCTCCAACCTCTGGGCTTCACCGCACCGCAGCCGAATCGTGAGGTGGTAGGCGGATATTTTGTTTGGCTCGGACTACCAGGCGGACTAAAGGGAACAGAACTGGCAATCAGACTTCAGCAGGACTACAACCTGATCGTTGCGCCGGGCAAGATCTTTGAGGTACCCGGCGATGAGTCGGCAGTCCCTTGTGATCATAGTATCCGACTCTGTTTTGCCTGGGAAGATGAAGAGAAATTGACGGAAGGTGTGCGCCGAATTGCGAGCGCTGCGTCGATGATGCTCCAGGCGCGGCAACACGACAATAGCGAGGATTTCGTGGTGGTCGACAAAGACACAACTGCGCCTTGTCTGAGTGGGTATTGATTGACATGTGTGGAAGCATGTAAGGAATATGCGATCCTCGATACTGAAGGCACAAGCGAAGCCTTGCCCTCTCTCAGCAGCATTTTGTGACCACGAGGAACCGGAAACACTCTCTATCATTGTCCCGTTGACCGGATCCACTGTCTCCCTGGGTACTCACATCCTACAGGACCGCATCAGATCTCCCGACGTCGCGAGAGTCTCTCATGCGTCTCCGGCTATCACCCGAGGAGATGGAGCGGAAACCAAATATGGAGAATGTGTGAACGTGGTACGAGACTCTGCAGGTCGAAGGTGGTAGGAGTCATCTAGCCGCCAATGGCTATCGCACATACAGGACCACGAGTACCACCGCATATGCATCATCTTGACAGCGATTCGAATCAAGGATGAGATTATTGGAGAAAGTGAGGTGAGTATCTGTCGTCATAGTAGATTGGTGTACTGCACAATCTGAACGTAGCAAAGCATCAGACATGCCAACTCCCATAGGTATCACGCAAAGCAATTACAATGCACTCGACGTCAGACCACACTCCAAAAGACTCATTACATCTGATTAGCGTCCCGCCAGGTGTGCTACGAAGCTGAGCGCCTGGCCTGTCGTAACCTCTCTTGCTCCTCGATGGCTTTCCACGTATTCTCTCGATTCTCCCGACGTTGCTTTTCTTCCTCGAGGTCCTTCTAAGACGTCAAGACAGCGGGTTCCGTCGTGGTTGCGGTCGTCGTCTGAGCAGTAGGTATCGCCGGTGGGTATGGTGGTTGTTCAGAAGAAGATGTGGCAGATGCGAGGCTCTCCTGCTGATGCTGCTGATGCTGCTCCTGCTGCAGCTCCTCCTCCTGGGCTCTTTCCATGGCCTCGACACGCTGTGCATCGCTAGCGTGATGCTCCGTGCGGTCAGGAATGGTGTGGGTAGCCATGGCGTTTGTGCCCAGGCTGCCGGCGGATGATGGAATGGGCTCAACGGACGACTGCCACCCTCTCAGTGAAGCTTCAGCATCATTGAGGATCTCCCGGCCAGTCTCGGCGTGGAGGTAAGCGGGTCGGTCCTCGCCTGGCACCGTCGGCGTGTCGTCTAAGAGGCTGACCAGGCGACGAGCCTGCTGTGCGAGCAAGATCTGCTTCTCGGCACGTTCAATAATGGCAGCAGTGTGAACATCATAGGCCTCCTTGAACTTCTGGCGGGTCACATTGGTGAGCTGAGCATCTGCCACGAGGCTCTGGGCCTCGGCGCGGACCAGTTCCTGCTCCAGAGTCACGAGCTTGGTCGACTCGGGCTCCTTGTACTTGAGCTTTTGGATTTCGTCTTGGATCTAGAGAGGAAGCGAGTGCGTGCGTCAGTTCATGTAGCCCGGCATTGTCAGTCATTCCCCCTACTTGAGCCCTACCTTCTGCTTGTGAGTCCTGGTGGGGGCCACGCTGGCCTCAGTGTTCCTAATCTGCTTCAGGACGCCTCTGCTGTCCTCCAAGTTCTGGGCATACAGATCTTCCTGTTCGGCAATCTCGGCCAGCAAGACACCAAGCTTGTCGCTGATGTCGCTCACGGCCTCGTCCTCAGTGCTCTCGCCCCACTCGCTCAGCTGGGATGCGATGCTCTGCGACTCCTTTCCGGCCTGCTCAAAGGCGCCGATGGCGTGGTTTTGCGTCTTGATCAACAGACGAAGCTTCTTGGAGAGCTCGGGTCCCCCGCCTGCCACATTACGCAGGGACGACATGGCGAAACGGTGCTTGATGCCCGAGCCCGAGTCATTGCCCTTGTGGCGGAGCGAGCCTTTGCGACCAATGTTCCTGTTTGGTGCGCACGATGTTCAGTAATGCAGTGCAGTGCAGTTTCATCAGAGAGGGCCATCCACGTACATGTTGGCAATAGTTGGGCTGTATGGTGCGATATGGGGTGTTTCAGAGTCCAAGGGTAAGTGGAATGGGATGGAGTGGGTAGGTCAGGTTAGGTAGGTAGGGTAGATTGATATAGACAGACGGAGGTTGCATACCTCCATGTCCGTAGGGTGTGTACGGGCATGTGATAGGTACCTCCTACGTAGAAGAGCAATGACGTCGTTCGTGACGCGGTGTCAATAAATGTTATTCCGGTCTAACAAAGATTTTGAACGCCCGCCATATCACGTGACTCTACTCTCCGTCTCCTACCGGATATCCTCTCCAGACACACATACCTCCTAGCCATACTCATGAACAGTCCCAGTACAATTCATAAATTTAAAACCAGCACAGCACCGCATCCAGCCTCCCGCCCAGCCTCATTATCATGTCCCGCGTGTAACTTGGTATCTTCCCCCCCCTCTACAGACTACCGCCTCTCATCGCTCATATGTCCTGCTCGTCTTGCTATACACCACGCGCTCACCGCTCCGGCGAGGCAGGTATCCATGGCTGTGGCTGTGGTAACTGCTCCTGCTGACTCTCTCCACTGGAACCACGCTCGTTCTTCTGTACACCGATCCTCCTCCTCCTCCGTGGTAGTTGCTCACGGGCCGTGGAGGCACGTCTCGCACGCGGACCACCGTCTGTCGTCTCGGCGTCACGAGACACATGATGCTGGTGAATGGGTGGGATGGCGCTCCTGTGCGGGCGTGTCTGTGCAGCCGCTGCGGCCTCTCGTATTCGTCGTTGTTGTTGTTGTTGTCTGTTGTTGTTGTGTACTTTAGAGGTAGGTCGTACGGGAAGGATGGGAGGGGTTGTGTGGTAGTAGTAGAGGAGAGGCGGTTGTTGCAGCTGTAGTGCGAGCAGGTGAGGTGGGAGTGGAAGAGAAGAAAAATAGTCATTTATGAGGCATACAGCACCTACCTCACTCGCTTGCGTAGGCTCATAATAAGCTACCTTAAGGTAATCAACTCAGGGACTGGCTAAGGTATCCTCGTTCAGCCGTAACACGCCGCCCAACTACCTACCAATCTCGCACCATGTCATACTTCCGTACATATTGTAGGAGGTAGCTTAGCCACCTACGGAGCTACTACACCTACTACACCTACACACCGGTTTTCAACTTCTCGCATCCCCAGCCATCCCGTACATCTATAATTATCCCTCTGTGACGTAGAGTCGTACCACGGGAATACCAGACATGTATGTACCTGTAATAATACATGGACAGTATAGGTACATGCATACACGTACCTACATGTACCTTCTACACTTCCCACCCGTACATGTACCTTACATGTAGGCACCTATTTACCTTCAATTCTGGGATTCCAACAGTCAGGTAGGGCAGTTAGCTGAGGTAAGTACATCCAAGGTAGACACCATATCATCATTCTGTATGTATAATTAATTAACAGTTCCGTTTCTCCCTCCCATGTCATATCAGAATATTATTACTCATGTGCTTTCATCGCCCTCCCCCAACCGCATGCCTTCCTCATTCCACACCCGTCACAGTCCAGAACTCCCGGGCGCATCACTCATCAGACTACGACTGCTCTGTCTGCTCCTGATCGGTCCATCAATCTCCATAGCCCCACTCATCACCCGCACAATCTTCTTGTCCCTCCCCCCGTCGTTGTGCACCAGCACCTGCGCCGGGCACACCACAATCTCATCATCTCCCTCTCCCACATCGTCGCCCTTCTTGACCACTAACGGGAACAGCACCATCTTCACCACCGCATGTCTCGCCGCAAGCTCCTCATTCGAGCTAAAGAGCCCCGACCGCTCATTCATCAGAGACGCGTTGAAGTAGACTTTGCGCACCAAATCTCCATTGTTATCATATTCGGGCTGCAGCGGAGGTAACATGATGTACTCGGCGCGCTGTGTGCGCATCTCAATGGCAAGATCCACTGCAATGCGAATCACTTTCTTCAGAGAAGTCTGTAGCTGGTCTTGGGAGCCTGCAGGTGGCGGTAACAGCATGCATAACACACCAAAGATCTCGTGCGCCACTGCCTCGGTATCCAGAGCACATTGCGCGTCAAATGATGGACGCTTGGAAAGCAGCGTCAGCGTGGTCGCACGCCAATGTGCAACCGCTCGAGGCGGTCCCACTTCGGAGAGCAGCTTCTCGAGAGCTTTGAGCTTTTGCCGCTGCTCGCGGTCCATCCCGAAGAGGTAGCGTGTGAAGACATATTCCCAGACCATAGTCATGACCACCGACATGAAGACGTCTCGGCGGCGCACGCGATCGCCCAACAGTTTGTCCACGTCGGAGCCATCGAGGACGGCATTGTCCAGTCGCGCCTCAATCTTGTCATCGTTGAGCTCCGTGGACAGGCGGCACACCCGATTGTCCGACATTTTGGAGAATCGCAAGACCCATTGCTGCACGTGCTGGCAGAGCTTCTGACACGACCCGTCGAAATAGTCCTCATCTCTATTGACAAGGAAGTCACTCGACTTGGAAGACTGGATCTGCACTTGCAGAGCCCGGATTTGCTCGGCAGCAAGATCAAGCTGTTCACGAAGTCTCAAAATCTCTGCGTTTTTGTCGGCCAGCGCAGTCGCAAGTTCCGCTTCCACAATATCTCGCATGCCAGACGTGATTCTGCCATGCTCGTTCCGCAGGGACTCGAGCTCTCGACAAGTAGCCTGCCAGTTGTTGTGCGCTTCGGCGTGCTCGGCTTGAAGGGTGGCATAACGTCCGTTCGTATCATCGACCAAGTTGCGGTTGGCGTCGGTGAGAGCATTGCTCAACTCCGTCAGGCGTGCAATTTCGCTCTGTAAGGGCTGCAACATGGCCTTGATCTGATGGATTTCGGCATCCTTTGCTTGCAGCTGAAGGTCACGTGCTGCAAGCGCCTCTTGCAATGGGCCTGCATCCACACTCTGGGCAGCGTGACTGGCTTCGCGGGCTTCCTGGAGGGCACGATTCTCGGCGAGTAGATAGTCCAGCCGCGACTCCAGCTCGTTGATGTGCATGCTTTGCCGTTTGCGCACGCTCGGTGGACGGGTGGGCGAGACCTGCGACTGCTGCGCGTCGCCATATCCTTGCTGCTGGGAGTCAGTGTCGGCGCGGTGGTGCACGTGCTGGCGGTGGTGGCGGTGGTGGCGGCGGTGATGGTCAGGGTCAGGGTCGGGGTGACTTACAAACACATCGTCGTTCATGTCTCCTGCGCGCGAGGCGCCGGCGTGTATCAGCTCATCGTGCTCCAGCGGCGGAGTGGGAGGCGCCTCGCCAGCAATGGTGGTGGGAGGTGTGGCTCTAGCGCCGACGGCAGAAGCCGTAAGCGAAGCCAAGCCCTGGGAGCCCAAGTCGGACCCACCATGCGCGCCGGACCCGGACGCCCCGCGCCGGCTGGCGGCCCGCAGATCGCCGGACAAGCTGATGCGGCGGAGAGAGGGCGTCGAGGTCGAGCTGCGATTGCTGCTTCTGCTGAACGAGCGCAGTTCCTTGTTGGCCTGAGGCGACCGCAACTGGCTCGCACTGCCCATCGACCGGTCGCTGACTACGCTGCCTGAGGCATGCATGTGCACGTGGTCCAAGCCCCCTTCGTCCGCCGAGGATCCGTATCCGTGTTGTACCAAGGATGGCGACAATGCCCGCTCTCGAGCACGGATGGCTTGGGGTGTCTCGGTGCGTCGAATGGCTTTGATGTGCTCCGGACCACCCACTTCCGCTCGTGGTTTGCTCCGCTTGCGGGAGTGATGGCGCTCAGGATGCTCTTCCACAATAGCATCGAGCGGTGCTCGGGAACTGGTCGGAGACGACACACCAAATCGCTCACCATGTGCTGTCGGGTCCGATCCCGAGACCTCCTGGGCATCCTCCGCCTGCGTTGCTCTCGGACTCGATGATGGCTGCTCAGGATGTTGAAGCGGCGTCGACGCATCATCTACTGCGAGCAAGTCAGGAGGAGACTGGAACAGATACGACGCACGATTCTTACTTGTGGGCTCCAGTGGCGTATTGGCACTGGGCATGCGTTGATGCCCGGCCATTGCGAGTGGTGCCTCGTTGTGCTCTCCCGTCCTCTGCTTCGGCGTGTGCAAATTCCATTCAGGACTCGTCGGTGTGGACACCCGAAGTGGCTCGAGTGAACGTCGTTCGCGCAGACTCTCACGCGAAGAGCTGGTCCGCATCTTCTCCGGTACCTCGCCCTCGGATCCGTCTGTTGGCTGAGAGGAGCGTTTTGCTGTTTCATATCCACTGTCCCGATTTTCTTCACGGTCGCCACCATTCCGAGCCGAATCAGGGAAGGCCTTGTCGTCCTGCAGCGCTGCGAATGACCACGAAGGCTCCCCAGTAGTCCCTGCATGCGAGGCGCCTGAGCTTTGAGTCCCATGCTGTTCTGTTGTCGATGCAGCTGCAAGCCCCACGCCAGCAGCAGCAACATCTGCCGAAATCTGTTCAGGTACATGCTGCTGCATCACCTCCGATGTGTGTACCGGACCGAGCTTCCCAGAGTCGGTACTGACTCTCCTGATCTGTTTGCCATCCTTCTCCTTTGCACTACCGGTTGGCACGCGACGTTTCACGCGCTCAAGGCTGGGAAAGACAGATTGTACAACGCTCTTGGCGCTACTTTGGCTCGTGGAGCTCTGGGCTGGTTTCGAATCATCCTTGACGGCATCGGACTGCTGTTCTGAGGACGCTTCCGTCGGATTCCTGTTCATGGGCGCGCCCTCTGCTTCGGACACCAGTGCAGATCGCTCAGTATCGTCTACCGCACTACCTTCAATATTTTCACCAAGTCCAGCAGATTTGGCGGCAGCTTTGAGCTTCTTCTGCTGGCGCTTGTTTTTCTTGTACGCCTTATAAGCTTGGTCCATCGCGTCAACATCCATCTCATCCTGCACCAACCAGCCATGCTCGGTACTTTCGGCTGTGATTGGTGGTGGTGCGAGGTCGGCGTCCATGGACGGCATGCCTCCTGTAGTCAATTGACGATCTAGTGAATCTGCAGCGATTGCATCTGCCGCCTCTTTCATGCCCTCCACCGGTGTCGGCCCGTCCGACACTTTCCTGACGCTGTCATCACTGTCCAGTACTGCACTCTTGCCCTTCTTGTTCTTTTTGCGCTTGCTTGTGGTGAATGTAGATTCGGGATCGTTCTCCACGTCACCCGAAAGCCGCTGGTCGCTGGCGGCCATAGCCTTGTCGAGAAGCATGGCATCGAACCCTGTGCTCTCGAGGGTCTTATTCACGATGTCGTCAACATCGCTTCGTGCCTTCTGTTGTCCGGAGGTCTTATCCTCCTGCTCGGCCAGAAGAGTGTCGGTCGCCTTCTGGGCCTTGTTGCTCTTGTTCTTCTTCCTCTTGCTGATCGACGGCACGAAAGCATCCTCCTCTTGTGGGTCAGCCTCGGCAATGCCAGTCGGCGAGGCTCTTCGCTGAAAACCTGGATCCTCAATGACCATGTTCGGGTTGAAGCCACTATCCGCGAGTCCAGCAGCAACAGTCGCGGTGAAATCGATATCCGATCCAGGTGACGCACGAGGCGAACGTGCAGTCTCGTGGCGATGCCCATCGTCCGGGTGTTCCGCTTCCTGTTGGTGAGCTGGGACTTCATGTGGTAGGACATCCGGCAGCGGCTGATCAACTGCGGTTGTAGACTGAGCACCCATAGCAGTCGTCTCGTCGACCTTATCAACAGCAACGGGAGTTCGGTCAGGCACGGGTTGCGCAGGCTCCGGAGCGTCGACTGCTGATACAGATGTGAGTGCACCACTCTTCCTGGCTTTCTTCTTATCTTTCTTCGACCTTTTCGTGGAGGATGCCGTCCATTCATCAGTCTCGGGTCTAGACTCTGACTGGAAAATACTCGAAGCAATGGCGGTGGCTGCAGCCGCGGCGCCACCAACAATGGTAGCATCAACGCCGTCATGAGTGCTGTCGTCAGCTTCTGGCTCAGCTTCTGGCCTGGCTTCACTACGGTCATCAACCTCCTCGTGAGGACCTGCGACTGACGAATCAACCTTCGGATCTCTCTCTTGAGGTTCAACGCCAGCGTGTATGTCTGTCGCTAGGTCATCCTGGACCTCAGGCTGCCGCGCTTCTGGAGTCCGTTCCTCCTCTCGACTTGGGCTCTGCTCGGTAGGATGGTCATTTTGCTCAGTAGTACTCTCATGTTGTTCGGGCTTACTCTCATCTGGATCATCCACATGAGCACTGACATCGGTCACCCCCAAATGGTCTCCTACGGGCACAGCAGATTTTGTAGAGACCTTCGCGTCTATAACAGGTACAGGCTGCTCAATCTCTGGCTCAGGCTCAGGCTCAGAGGCACGCTTGGCCTTTTTCGCCTTTTTCCCTTTCTTACCGCTCCGTGCAGCAGGAGTGTCCTCTTCAGCAGGTTGTGCCTCAGAAGTGCTTGCATCGTGGTCAGGCCGCGAGTCCTGGGATTCGGCGTGTGGCTGCTTGTCGAGGGGTGAGACAGTTGCTTGTAGTTTCTTTCCCTTCTTCGCCTTCTTGGTTTTGATCGGTAGCGAACAGAAATCTTCGGGTTCTGCCTCTTTCGGCTCCTGAGAGGTCGTTGCTGTAGACTGAGGCGCAAGGTCATCCAATGCAGAGATACTCTCGTCTGGGACGGCCGTATCATCGTTGGCAGCATGCGCGTCTCCGTAGGTAGATGGTATGCTCTTCTGTTCCGTCTCTACATCTTCGTTGCCACCTTGCTCGGCATGGAGGTCGTTGCTACCTGGCACAAGCGGGTCTCGCAGGTCTCCTGCTGGAGTTGCAGACGGCGGCGTGACAATAACATCCGCGTCGTCAGTGATCGCGGGCTTGCGAGTATCATTGCCTACAGACTCGGCGGTATTTCCAGCTAGCGACATATCTTCGACCGTCAGAGAGTCTCTAGCTTCGACGGGGCCAGGCTTTGCCTTCATAACGTCACTTAGTTTGGTCTTTTTGCCTTTTTTGCTCTTCTTCTTGCTTGGAAGTGTCAAGGTCTCATCAGCCTCAGGAGTAGGGGAACCCTCCACCAAAGCTTTTTCGGTCGGCAGAGCTGCCTCGCTTGGTAGAGCTGCTTCGTTCGGCAAAGCTTCTTCCTTTGGCAGGTCTGCTTCTTCCTTTGACGAACATGCTTCTTCTTTTGGCAGAGATGCTTCATCCTGTAGCAGAGCTATTTCTTCCTGTGGCGAAGATGCTTCTTCTTTTGGCAGAGATGCTTCTTCTTTTGGCAGAGATGCTTCTTCCTGTGGCAGAGCTGGTTCTTCCTGTGCCGAAGATGCTTCTTCTTTTGGCAGAGATGCTTCATCCTGTAGCAGAGCTATTTCTTCCTGTGGCGAAGATGCTTCTTCCTTTGGCAGAGCTGGTTCTTCCTGTGGCAGAGCTACTTCTTCCTGTGGCGAAGATGCTTCTTCTTTGGGCAGAGATGCTTCTTCCTTTGGCAGAGCTGGTTCTTCCTGTGGCAGAGATGCTTCTTCTTTGGGCAGAGATGCTTCTTCTTTTGGCAGAGATGCTTCTTCCTTTGGCAGAGCTGGTTCTTCCTGTGGCAGAGCTACTTCTTCCTGTGGCGAAGATGCTTCTTCCTTTGGCAGAGATTCTGCTTCCTTTGGCGACGATACCTCTTCCTGTAGCAGAGCTACTTCTTCCTTTGGCAAAGATGCTTCTTCCTTTGCCGAAGATGCTTCTTCCTGTGGCGAAGATGCTTCTTGCGCAAGAGCGATTTCGTTTGCCAAGACTGCTTCGTCCAATGTAGTTGTTTCGTCCGCCAGAGCTGCTTCGTTCGGTCCAGCAATATCTTCCAACTGTGGCTCGGGTATAACATGGTGCTCATTACCGGCGTCAACTCGTGGTGTTTCGCCAGCTCGTGCTGCCTCCGATTCAATTTCAGCCTCCAAAGATTCGGCACGAAGGACAGGCGCAGCTGGTACTTCTTCGGAAAGATCAGATTTTCCCTTCTTGGACTTCTTCTTCTGCTTCTTCGAGGTCGGTGGAGTCCACCAGTCATCGCTCCCCTCGGCAGGCTTTGTCGCAGGATCTTTCTCAGCGGTGTTGATATCTGCGGACTCGTGGGCATTCGCTGCAAGTTTGGGATCCTCTGCAGCGTCAACAGGGGCCATAGTTTCACCCGGGTCCTGCTCCGCCACCTTCTCAATGACGCTCTCCGCGGTAGTCGACAAGGGTTCATCGCGCAATCCTTCGCGAGACAAATCATTCTCAGCTTTGCTGGTTTCGTCGGAACCGCTTTCTCCTGCAATAGCGGGTCTCTCCAAAGATGGACTCTGGTTATCGATTATGCCAGTACCTTCACTTAGCTGTCCCGGCGCAACTTCGATGTCCTTGGGCTCGTCTTGATGCGCCACTGCTGCAGTGTTGACTATTTCAGGTGATAGATCGGCGACATTTGGCTGTGGAGTGGTATGACCTGACTTTCTGTCCTTCTTCGCCTTCTTCTTCTTCTTGCCGGAGCTTGGAACAGCACATATGTCCTCTGCATCATCTGCAGACTTTACGGGCTCATCAGGCTTAACTTCACGAGACGCTTCGTTGGTGGATTCTTCAACGCTCACGCGCTGTGCTTCGGACCCGACTTCTTCTGCTGGCGGCTCCGCCGAAACGCTCAGGCTAGGCTGCTTGCCTCTCTTGGCCTTCTTCTTTTTGGAGGGCGGGCCGCTCCATTCGTCGTGCTCTTCAATCAGCGGAACCTCTGGCGTTGTAGTAGCTACATCTTCCATGCCTGTTTGAGCTGTGCGCTCGGTTTCGAGCTGGTGCTGGGGTTCCGGTTCCGGCTGTGGCTCCGCCTCGAGCTTCGTGATATCTTCACGGGATGCCTTGCTATCTCGATCGTCAGGAGTTTCGGTGTGGCGTGCGTCCGGGCCAAGTTCTTGTGCCACTGGCATGTCCAAAGAATCATGGGCTGTCTCCCCGGGTTTGCCATCATCAGCAGATTCCATCCGCTGCTCTTCAACCAAATCGGAAGAGACATTCTGCTTGGACTTTCTTCCTTTCTTCTTTCTACCAACTGGCACAGCCCCTTCGTCTTCAGCTTTTTCGGTAGCAAGTCTTGGCAGTGACTCGTCGGATATCGGCTTTGCCGTCGTTGTTTCATGCGAAGTCTCCTCCATCGTGTCGGGGACCGCTGAGGTTTCTGCTTCTGGCTCTGTCGTAGTATCAACCGGTGTATTATCTGCAGCGCGCGGCCCAGTATTAGAGTCTGTTTCTCCCTGTATACCCCTAATTCCACTCCCGGAAGACCCAGCGACGCCGTCGGCAGCATCTTCCACATTCGTATTCTCCTCTTCTGTGGGAGGTGTCTCGCCAGTCTGCGTAGTCGAGAGAAGGCCAGTCAGAGCTGTAGCTGCGGCACTACCGACGCCATGGGCAGATCCGATCAAAGGTTCAGACTCGCCGTCTCGATCTTTGCGATCCGACTCATTGTGGACATCGTCAGCGGAGGGCTCCTCAGTGATGGACTTTCTGGCTTTCTTCCCTTTCTTGGATTCCTTCGACAATCTGGAAGGTGGCCACGAAGAATCGGCGGGCTCTTGCAACTCTTCGGCTACTCCATCATTGGCATCCGCCGCTCTCTGATCGGTATTGGAAGCATCCTCCATGACAGGAATGTCGTTGTCAGCTGGTGCTCCATGTCCATCGTTATTCAGACCAAGCTCATGGTCATCATGCTCATCTGGGAGCGGTATATTTGCAGGTTCCGTGGCAAGATCTTGAGCACTTTCAGACTCAGGAATTGCTGGATCGTGTTCTTTGACCTGCTCCATCGGCTCCTCTAGATTGAGATCCTCAATTGTCCTTTGAGTTCGTGTGCCAAGTCCTTTGACCTTCTTCGCCTTCTTTTTGTCCTTTTTCGACACTGGGGCCGTCGCGAAGTTCTCTTGCTCTTCAGGGCTTGATGGCGGTGCCTCAACTCGTCGCATCAAATCTCTGTTGATATTTGTTGGATCCTCTCCTGCCAGATCAGGGTCTGCAGTGAGACCCAAAGGCACCTCGAGGCCACCCGCGGTCTGTTGCATGATTCCTTCTTCACGCAAGGCATCAGGCGCTGACTTTGGCTCCAGCGTTGACTGTTTGCCTTGCTTGCTATTTTTGCTCTTCTTTTTCTTCTTACTGCTGGGTGCCCACGAGAACTCCTCTTCAACATCTGCCGTCGGCTGCTCCTTGGTCTCCTCACTTTGGGAGTTGTGTGTTTCTGTCTTGCCCTGCGGCGGCTCGTGCACCAGATCTGAATCGCCACGATCCGAGTCGACACGAAATTGAACTTCGTCTGTCCCTGGAGATGTCGATAGACCTACCGCCGGAGCACTAGCGCCTTCTGGGAGCTCTAACGTAGGCTCGGTCTCGACGAGAGGCAGGCCGGACTGATCTTGGAAGTCTTTACTTTCCTCACTGGGCGGCTTGTCGGACATTTCATTTCCAGAAACGGTATCGATTGCAGGCGCAGATTCGCTGGGCAATAGGTCTGGGACGGCAGACTCGGGTACGCCTCTTTCTGTGACATTTGCACTAGAGCTTGGATTTGACTCGCTCTTGATGAGGCCTTTGGATATGGACTTCCTGCCCTTTTTGCCCTTTTTGCCGGTTTTTTTGGAGCTAGTCAGTGACCACTCCGCTGCGTCGCGAGGACTAGGTTCGCCAAATGCGTCCATGTCTTCAGAAGCTCGCTCTGGCTCGAACTCCATGCCGCGGTCTGCCATCACTTCTTCTCGATCACCCATTTCGTTGGATTGGGAAGGACTCAGCTCGCCCGTGTCAGAGACTATCCCGAACACATCATCAACCAGATTGTTATCTTGCACTGGATCTGCTGGGGAATCTTGCATCTTCTCATCGCGAGCCTGGCCAAAATCTTCGGCCACTGAATTTATTTCCTTCTGCAGCTGCTCATGACCTTGCTCGATGTCTGCAACTGCTTCTGCAGGGCTATGGGGCTGTGGCGATAACTCCTCTGTTGCAATAGTCTGGGGATTGTCGGTTTGCCCGGCTGTTTCTTCTGCATCGTGCCAAGGCTCTGCAACAGCTGATTCGTCGAAGAAGTCTTCCGCATCGTGAAAAGAATTGTCAGGAGTATCTACAGGGGGCGACACTTCCTCGGTCAGCGCGCGATCGACATCGGGGGATGATTCGTTGGCAGGCTCGTTCGCAACTGTCAAGGTGGCCACATCGGCTGCAGGAGTGTCTCGCTCGACTTCAAGCTCGCTCTCCACTTGTCGAGACTGCGCCTTTTGCTTCCTTTTGTCCTTTTTGCTCTGCTTGCGAGATGGTGTTGGCTTCTCGTCATCAGCTTCAGCAGGCCCGTTGACGAGTGAAGCAGTGCGTTCTGCTGGTACGGCCTCAATGCGGGGCGAGTGATCGTCTGGTCGAGATTCTGGTAGGGCAGGTTGCCACTCATTCCCATCAAGAGCTTGCTTCATTCGCTTGTCTTTCTTCCCTTTCTTCGCCTTCTTCGATGTACTTGGCATCTCAAATGCGCCACCGGCTTGCGGCTGCTCTACGTCAACATCAGGGGATTTTTCGCGCGTCGAAGTGGTCTCATCGCGAACTATGGCAGGCTCATTCTCAGGCAATGTACCGTGGTCCGCAGGCATGCTCTCGGGACTGCCCGACTCGTCATTGACTGTTGGCGGTAGATTCGACGTCTGTGGCTCACTGGAGTCGAGCTCTCGCTGCTCTGGCTTATCCTTCTCCGCGGTCTTCGGTGTAATTGGCATTGCATGCGGCTGCTCCATATCAGCATCTGTAGCAAGTACGTCGCTAGCTTGTGGCTGCTCCATATCAGCACCTATAGGGACTACATCATGGACTGGAGGAGTCTCTTCACCGACCACGATAGGCTGGGTGGCAGGCAATGCATCATGGTCTGCAGCCATGGTCTCTGAACCGGCTGGCTTATCGATGGGTTCTGGTGGTGAAGTCGATGTCGCGGGCTCACTCTGATCGAGAACTTGCTCTTCTCCATCTTTATTGGCACGCTTCGACGACTCAGACGACTCCGGGCCCGTCCAAGGGTCATCAGCGTCTGGCTTCACCTCATCCTCATCTGCGAGAATTGTCTCGCTGGCGGAAGGATCCCTGTCGTGGGCTATAGCCGCGGGTATGAGACTTGCTGCGGCGGCGGTGGCGGCGGTGGCGGCGGTGGCAGTCATGAATGCGGTTTCCTTATCAGAGTGTCCATCTCTTGGCTTGTCATTTTCATCAGTCACGGTAGGTGGCGGGGACTCTGAGGGTCGAGCTGCCCAGGAGTTTGCCTGTTTCTTCTTCTTCTTATCTTTTTTGGTTTGCTTCTTGAGTACCGCTGAGGTGGAGCTCTCCTCCTCTTGCTGAGGCTCAGCCTGTTCCATCTGCACGAAATCGCCGTCGTTCTCGTGCTCCATCGCAGGTGCTGGTGAGGGTTCAATGAAGCTGCTGGCGCCCTCGTCTTGAGATGCAATGACATCTTCCATTGGTGTGTTTTCAGTTGCATCGTGAACCTCAAAATGCCGAGAATCTTCAGGCTCATCCCAGGAGAAAAGCTTCGATTTCTTCTTATCTCGCTTACTCTGTTTCTTGGGTACGGCAGGGGCGACATCATCAGCAGGCG